CCCCTGGCTGCTTTAAGGGGGCAGAGCAGGGCAGATGGGCAGGAGCAGCTCTAGACTGAACTGCTCCCATTGGGAGCAAATTTGCTCTTGACAGGGTCACATGTTTAGACATGTGCCCGGGAGCACTTTAATGAGCATTAATTGCACATGTAGATGCACCCTCTGTCTCCATCCCTACAACGACCCTTGTGCACCTTCTGTGCCAACACTGTGTGAGCCATTTTGTGGGGAGCCAACAGAGAAAGTGCACTGGGAAAATTCTTCTCTAGCCCTTGGAAGCTGGAACTGGAAGTGCACCAGAAATAAAGTGTCTGCTCCATGAAACTAAAGGGCTGTGTGCATTCTTCACAGTTCTCTGTGCCTTCCCATGAAGCCTAAGTAGTATCTTTCGTTTTTATGTCAGTGCAATTATTCCTTGATGTGCTGCACTTCTTCGAGTAGATAATCTCCAATCATTCAAGTGTCTCTCTTGAACGAAAGCATGAATTTTCCTTCCCTTGCTCCCTCATAAAGAAACTGACTGCATCTTTCTCATCATTAAAATGTTGCACTAGGAAGTAGCCCTTGCTAACTGCTTGGCAGGGTTCCAGCCTGCTTGTGGTCAGCTTTTTCATTTGACAGCTAGCACAGTACTGTGTCTGTTCAAATCTGTGTCGTTTATCACATGACCTGATTGATCTAAATATTCTCGGCAGCAATGTCCAAGCCACAGATAGCTTCACAGCTTGGCCTACAAAGAGGTTAAGCCACTTCTTTCATTTAGACTATACTTCTCAACCTTAATTATCCTTTTAATTTTACTGTGAGATACGGGAGTAGGTTTTGATTAGAAGTCTGCTTGTCTGCCTACCATACACCATCCTGACTCTCCCAGAAGTTTCTGCATTGCCTGCTTCCTAGCCCAGACATATTTCATTTTATTTCATTACCTGTGCTAGGTCCTCAACTGGTGTAAGCCAGGATAACTGTGGTGGAGTCAATAGAGGTGTCCTGAATTATACCAATCAGAGGTCTGGCTGACTATGTGCAAGCTTTTTCTGACTTAATTTACCCCAATATGAATCTGCAGGGACTCCAGAGAAATCAATGGAGTTGTACCAGGGAGCAAGAGGTACAAGCAAACACTATTTATCCCTTGTACAGCTTCATTGACCTCAGAATCTGGCAAGGTAATATAGGCCTGTTGGGTCACAATAAGGGGATGGGCAGACATACGTATACAGCACGTCAGATTCTGCACGTTTGGGAAGTGTTTTTAGTTTGTAACACTTCAGTACTGTATAATGTACAACTGTCTCCCAGCCACAGTGTCCCTGTGAAGTGTTTCAGTGCGATCTCTGTTTCATCCCAGGTCATTTCTAGTTGATTGTGGCCTGTTTGTACACTATAGCACTGCATGGCATTTATCTGCTCAGTTTTTTGTAGTGCTTTAACATTGTTTAAAGTGATATAAACATTACATCGCTCCATGTCCTAAGATGTGTCTATTAGGGCTGTGCGAAGCTTCGGTCCCTGATTCGATTTGGTGGAGATTTGGCCCAATTTAGTGGCTGAATCTCCAAATCCAAATCGAATCAGAGGACCCTTTAATCTCTCCAAATCAAATTGGAACCCTCCGAATCGATTCAGAGAGACTCGGAAAGATTTGGCGATTCAGATATAGACACAGCTTTAAATGTTTTTTCTAAATACCTCAAGGTAGCAGGCGTCTTGTGAATGCCACGATGCTGGGGTGCATGGTGTGTCCCACAGGAGTGCAGGGAGCTCCCCAGCGCACTTGGCAGCAGACCCGGAAGTGGACCAGAAGCACTTCCAGTCCACTTCCGGGTCCTCCAGAGAGCATGCAGGGGGGGCCCCTGCGCCCTCCCAGCTCAGTGACTGGTGCCTCCTGGGTCTGGGGGGGCACCCGGGGTCCCCCCATGGCTGATCGCCGAGCCGGGGGGATGCGGGGGGGGGCCCCCAGCACACTCCCCGGCAGACCCGGAAGTGGACTGGAAGTACTTCTGGTTCATTTCCAGGTTCACAGCTGAGCATGTGGAGGGCCCCACCGCACTCCTGTGGGATGCTCCATCCACACCAGCATCACAGTGTTCACAAGCTGCACTGGTACCTCGAGCTACGAGGAAAAACATTTAAAGTAACTGTGTCCGAATTGCTGATTCTCTGAATCAGCATTGAATTTTCAGATTCGGATTTGGCTGAATCAAATCAGGGACAGTGATCCAAATCAACAGATTGAATCCGACTCAGGCCACATCCAAATCAAATCAAATCCAAATCAAATAGGGTCTGCTTTGCACACCCTAATGTCTTTCTTTAGTTATCAACTGCTTTGCTGTATGCACCTTAGCCATTTTCAACCTGCAGTCACAATTTTTTGTCTCAAGCCTGTGTTTGCCTATAGCTGTAGGCTGGCTTGTGCCTCTTAATGGACGGCCTGCTGTAGGGGTGCGGTGACTCTCTACCCAAAAGAAAAAGCCTGTATGCTTTGAGCTAGATCTTCCCATCACTTACAGAGGGGCTGTCCAGTTTTTCAGCATCTGCAGGTTGCATGGGCCCTGGTTCACAGACTGTGGGGGCCAGATGGCCAATTCTGCCCCTTTACTTCATTGGCAATGCAAGCCCCCCCCTGCCATGCCATATGGGCAACCTGAGCTCTTCTGTCCTTGCCACACTACAGGAGCAGTGTGAGCTCCTCTCAGTGCCCCCCCTGCAGGCAGCATGAGCCTCTGTCATGACCACAGAGGCAGCCGGCTCACCAGGTCATGCTGACCTGTCCCACAGACCCAGCCACTGCAGCAGCAGGAGCAATGGGGAGAATGACGGCTGAGTGGGAGCCCACAAGCTGAACATTAACTTCTCACAGGTTGGATGCAGCCTGACAGCCACCAATCAAACAACCCTGACAACCAGTTTTATAGCACAGCTACCTTGATGTCAATGGAGTTACTGCTGATTTACATAGGTGTAACTGAGACGTGAATTTTGCCTGTAGAGTGCAAAGACTACCAGGGTAGGCTGGAGTCTCGACTGCAATGTAGCTGCTTTGTACTGCACCCTGGCTAGATCTGGCCATGAAGCTAAGAGGATTACCCAGAGCTATGATGACCCTCTGGTGGATAGGGGTTCTTAGGGCTTGTTTATACCACGGCATAAGCGCTGGAGATCCCGAGCACACCCCACCCACACCTTGCCTACCCAAGTTCATTGACTTGCTCCAGAACTGAAACCTCACCCATTAGGCTTCTCTGGGTTTATACCCAGTAATTACTCCCTGGCCCACTGGCCTGGTGTTGGGGGTGAGCCAGGAGCAGACACTTGGCGAGTCCTGGTTCTGGGGCCCGTTAATGGAGTCAGCTGGGCAAGGTGTACTCCTTGGTCTGGGGACATGGTGCTGCTGCAGTACAGACAGCATCAAGCCCTCAGATTGCTCTGCCACCCTTGTGTTGGCATGGCTGAAGGAAGGATGCCACAGATGGCAAAAATGCCCCTAGGCCATGGTGATTTCAGGCCCTTGGTGCTGTTTGTTCTACTTTTGAGTGAGCCATAGCCCACAAGCAGTTTTAACTTGGTACAGGGATCTGCATAGAGCAATGCCATGTTTGGGTACATGGGGAGGGAAACTGCAGCATTGACTTGCGTTCACTGTAGGTTGGTCAGATCCCCAAGTTCTAGCCCTGTGTCTGGCCCCTACACGGGGCATGAGTTGCATGTTTGCAGCCTGTTCCCAGCTTGTGCAGAGCCAGATGCTACCTAATAAAATATATTACAATTGCTAATGAAAGTCAAGCCTCTGGAAGTTACAGTGGATGCTAACAATATTGCAGAGAGAGAAGGATTGTCTTTTCTAATGTGATTATAATGTAACTCAATTTCTCCTTGTTGACCAGGAGATAAACAAAGAGAAACAAATAGAATTTGCATCAGAGAAGATTTAGGCTAGAAATCAGGAGAATCTTACTAACTGCCAGGCTGGTGAAACATGGCAGCAGGTTTTCTAGAGGTTTTGTGGAATCTCTTTCATTGGGAGGTTCCAAGAACAGTTTAGAGTAATGGTACTCATGCTTTTTTGCCCCACGGGCCAGATGGGTGGTGCCTGGTCCATTCACAGGCTGGTTCTGGCTGGAGGCCCCAGTTCGGCACATGACAGGTACAGTGGGACCCAATGCGGCAGCATGGGAGGCAGCCCAGCCCCAACCCCACATTGCAGTGGGGAGGGTGGCCTGGCCCTGACCTGGTCCTGCAGGATTTGGGAATTAGTGGAGCAGGGGTGACAGTATTAGTTGCCAGTGTTCCCCTGCCATCAAATATTCCAGCCTGAGAGGAGCTGCATGGGCTACATGCCATGGCTACAGAGGCCACTTTTGATGCACAAGCTGGGGGTTGAGCACACCTGGGCTAGAGAAACACCTAGAAGGGATAGCCTAGGGATACCTGATCCTGCCTCTGCAGAGGAGTAGCCTTCATGACCTCTTGAGGTCACTTCCAACCCTGGATTTCTTTCTGATCCTCTAGTTACTTCCTTTAAGTTTAAATATTTTGGTTTTAGTTTGTTTTTTTATTGTGAAATAATTTGCATGCCTCCAACCTGGCAGTGTCTCTTCCTGGCTGACCAGGACAATCTGGTCAAGCAGATTTACTTCCGTATTTTTTTGCCAGATTGGAGCATGGAACAACACACTCTTTATCTTTCCAAAGCAATGCATGGAGAGGGAATACAGTCTTTCAGTGAAAGAATACAAAGCTTTGAAAAGGGGAGGTAAAAGCTGACCACACAGGACCTCTCAGTGTTTTGTGCACAGACTAAATGTTGACACACTACAGCATAGCCAAGGTCGGACAAAGCTTTATATATTTTATCCTTGTGCTGAGCTGCACGTTCCTGAAGAGACTGAGCAATGGGTGGATGGAGGGAAATGGACTGTTTTTTGCTCAGAAATGCAAAATATGAAGAGACAGATAAGCTGTATCCTTACCATTGCTGATGTTTCTTGTTACAGAAGAGAGTGAAACTGCTTAAGAAGATAACAAAGGAACATGAACAGTACAGCACTCGTGTCAACCAGTTTCAAACGTGGCTGAATGGTGTGACTGAAAGTTTAAACTGCTGCATTGAAGAAGCAACAGTAGAAAACAAGCTAAAGGCATTGCAGGTCCTTTTAATGATACATGTATATTAGGAGGAGGGAGAGTCAGTATTCCCCACGCTGAAATTACTCTTTGTGTATCTCAAACCATATGAATCTTTAGTAGTGTTGCCCTGTGGGGTCAGGCCAACTCTCAGGATCTC